TATTCACCATTGCTTCAAATTCAGCAGTTGTCTACTCTCAATTCTTCTTTGTTCTGTCTGGGTGATACCATCGTCTCCCCATCACCTGGGCTCCTTCATCTCATCCTGGTATTTCCCTAACCACTGTCCTTTGCCCTCCATTCTCTACAAACCCTCCCTAACCTCATGTGTTGACCTACCAGCAGGATGCCACTGGATTCCACCCTGAAGACCAGCCTCCCCCTCCGAGGCTGATCTTTCTGACCCAGCACCATGTCCGTCATGCGCCTCAGCATGTGTTAGCTCCTAACCGCTTCCTGCATTACTGAGACAAGCTTCCCTTCCTCCCACATCTCCTACAGTCCTGTGAGCTTTCCCCATCTCTTTGTCCAAACCTCACCTGTCCATTGGGGGCTCACTTGCTAGGAAGCCTTCTTGGATGATGCTAGCCCTCTCCTTCCCTTAATTCTGTAGTGTTGTCTACTGGACTGTCTCCTCTCTGAGAAAGTTGCTTGAGGGTGGGCTTCATGTCTGAAGACTGGGCACAGGTTAGCTGCCCAACACACACTTGTTGATTCACTGCCTGGTGGCATTCCCAAAGACTTACCTCAAAGGCCGCTGCTCCCTATTATTTTCCTCAGTCACTCACCCATCCCCACGTGACTTCTAACTCCCACCAACCAAGGGCAAGCCGGAAAAAGAAATGAGTTTAAGAGAAGCAGAGAACACTGTGAGAAAGAAGCCAATTCTAGGATCACTAGTCTTTTAATATATTATTCTGAAAAGAAATGAATTAAAAAACAAAAAGTTTCTGACATCTGGTCTTCTTCTTCTTCTTTTAATTTAAATAAATACCCTGCCCACCCCCCACCCACTAAAATTTCCCTCCATCCCCATCATCCCGCCCATCCCTGGCACTAGACCCTCACCCCAGAGCTAAATAAGGTGCCTGCTTCTGAATAGACCACACTCACTCCAAAATTCTGGCACATTGTAAATACTGTCAATGAGTCTGCTGCGCTTGGCTCACCGGAGCCCTCCCTTCACCGCACCCCACTCCAATCTCCCCACTGGATGGTTCCCTCCATTTGGGGTGGGCCCTTGCGGGCTTTGGGGAGAGTACAAACTTGGTTCTCTTTCGTTGCCTCAATTCCCCACTCCCTGCTCAGGAGTAGGTAAGGAGGAGCCAGATTTGCCCTCCAGACTAAAATAAATAAACAAAATAAATACCCCTTCCCCAACTCTACAAAAGAGCGACGCTGACTCTCATTCACTACTCCCCCCTCTTACTGGACTTGGCCCCCTTCTCCCCCCACCCCCCTAGGCCTTCCCCTCTTCCTGTGCTGGACTCTGGCTAGCTGGCCTTTGTCCTCAGGAGGGAGGTCCCCGCTGGCTCAGTAGGGAGAGCAGAGGAGGGCCTCACCCCAACCTCTCTCAAACCTTCTTCTTCTCCCAAATGACTGGGCTGCTGCTGGCACCCCCAGCCCACTGGACCTGGCAGAGCCCCCCTGCTTCTGGATGTCAGGGTGGAGGGCGCAGGGGTGTGTGTGTGTGTGTGTGTGTG